CTATTCCATACGTTTTTTTTTTTCTGCTCTGTTCTGCTCTGTTCTGCTTACTTGTGCTTACTTTTGCCTTGTTTTGTTCTTTTTCTGTGTAGTCAACTTCTTTTAACATGACCACAGGAACAGGGTGGTACAGGTCAAATGCATATAAAATGTAGATTTACATGAATAATATGAAGGGGTAGAATTCTCCTTTATGTGAAGTTAATTATTCACAGATGAGCAAGTGCATTCTAAGGGTATAGTGCAGAACACACATAGCATGCGAATAAGCATTCGAGTATAAGGACAGATTGTCTCTCCGCGCAGACGCGGTCGGGTAAACGGATCGGTCCGCGTGTAAGAACGGAGGGAGACATTGTCTCTCCGAGCAAAGGCGTCGACCCACGCGGTCGTGTGTAACAACGATTCGACGAAGTAGCCGCGTGTACGACGGCAGAAGAACTTGATGTTGTTGTTATACTGCGGTTTTAGTGTACTCAGAGAGTGTAGAAGAAGGGGGTATTTGTTGTTAAGGGGGGTATTGTTGTTACGGATGGTCTTGACGAAGGGGGAGTACTATTATATGTATGCAGGAACTGATGTTTCTATTAGAGGAATATGATTCCAACGGATAATGTTAAGTTCTTGTGAACTTTGAATAATTATCCAGGAGAGTGCTATCCTATATAAGAAGACACAAGGGGGGAAGCCATGTGGGATTATTTGTTAGTACTATGGGATGATTATATTGAGACGGGGAATACGGGGGTGAACGATACGAATATTAAAGACTGGGGGGTAAGTGCATGTGTACAGCACAATGAGACCAGTGGCTATGTCGTATTCTGCGAATATATTAGAATGAAACTGGGGGAACACGTTAGGACGAGTTGCGTAATCATCTTCTCTTCTGCTGTATTGTCCTTAGAGAACGTGCGCACATATATGTATAAGAGTATAAATGTATGTATATATAGAATTATGTGCAACAGTTGAGTAGCAGTGTGAATATAATTTAATGAGCAACTTATAATGCATATTGCACTCATAGACAACTTTCTGGGAAAATGTGAAGCACGTATGGCAAGAATTTAAGGAATACGTGGAGAAGGAATAGCACGGTGGGCGTGCGCAAACTATGTGTGAACCAGGGAAGGACAGTGACAGTACTGGGACATGGACGGAAAAGGACAGTGCTATATGCGAGTTAACATACATAGCATTAGATTTTAAACATGATATCGAGCGCGTGATAGCAAACGTGACTGAGGGAATTACGCAGACTGAAGTAGATGAGGACGCGAAAATGAAGTCATACATTAAATGTTTCCTAGTGAATGTATTTATGAAAAAAATAATGGGCAAAACATGTTTACAGACACCTGGTGCACAACTAGCATTTGATTTAGCCCATGGGACATTGAAGGAATTAGGACAAGTGGAGGTTGGTAATATTTCATGTGAACGGGAGGATGCAGGGGAGGGAGGTGTGAGGGGAGTAAACGCGAGAGATAGAACTTTCTGGGAAATAATGGAAAGATGGTTTACTAGGAATATGCAGAAAATAAATGATGGGGACACAGGAATATTGGGGGAAGGTTGCATGGTACAAAAACAAGCCACAAAGGGCGGAAAGGATGAACACGTGGGTGAGTTGAAGAGGACAGATGCAGAAAAGGTAAAAGACACAGTGAAAGCAGACATAAGGAATGTGAACAAGGAGATAGACGAAAACGTGTCGAAAATATTGCAAGGAATTGGAGATTGTAAGCATGGGGCAACCGATTGTATAAGGCAGTTCTTGGAGAAAGAACAGGAGGAAGCAAAGAAGAACTATGAATCCCCTCCGGAAACTGAGGACGTCCACGGGAAGCCACCGGCCGTACAGACACCAGTACCACCATCAACACCATCACAACCAGGCGGGTCACACCAGGATATCGTAAGTGTGGCCGCCACCAAGGACGCAACACAAAAGGAACCGACAGGTAAGGACCGATGGGGAGAAAGCACCAACACGGCCCAACACGTATTATACGGCCGCCACCGATACGACTGCACACGCATGGCACGGCCACCACAACAACGCACACGCGGCGAGAACAGCGGCACAGCAAACGACTTCACTTGAGCGGCGACGATGGCGGAGGGACGGCAACAACATAAAAGTTGTACTGCTACCATCGCAACCCAGTTCACCGAGTACGCAGTCCACCGAGTTCACCTCACCGTACGCTTGCTGTCGCCTGACCCAGTTCACCGCGTACGCAGTCCACCGAGTGCGCCCTCTGCATCTCTGCATTCATGCGGCACGTGTTACACCCCCCTATGCTCCTATATTACCGTCATTGTTAGGACAAACGGAAGAAGAGGAAACAAAAGCAACAACACCAGAAGCAGGTAAAACTGCAACACCTTCCACAGTATCAGGAGCAAGATCAGAGGAAGTTGCGCCACCACCGCCAGCACGGCCGCTGCCACCGCCACTGCCGCCACGGCAAACCACATCAGGTGACGACACGGGACCAGCTCAACCAGCAGGACCAGCATCAACACCGGCACCCGCAGAAGGCAATACGGGCAAAGACTCACGTCCGGGGTCTATTCATGCGACGACGTCAACATGTGGGACCACCACATACACTGAGACTACGGAGACAAATGGGAGTAAAGCCACCATTACAATCACTACCGTGGATTCCCCATCCACTGGATGCTCCGGAAGTGGTACCCCAGGTAGTGAGTCCGATGAGAACAAAGACCGAGAGAACAAAAAAAACAAAAGACACCACATTTCCGGAGAGACAACACGGAGAGACAACACGCAGAGACACCACGGAGCCCGCGACAGCGCCGTCGAATGTGAATGAACAGCGCGTGACAGCGCCCGCGGCAGCGGCCACCACAGGCAGCGCGACGTAGACACGTCGACACACTGTGTGTGTGTGTGTTGTGTGTGGCAGAGACAGAGTCTGTTCCCGGAGTGCCACCTGCCACGCCGTCCCAACCGCACCGTGGTCAACCATCCACGGACGCGCGCTGGTCATCACGGTGTGGTCCAGCATGAGCAACCATGCAACCGAGCATGGCCAACCTAACCATGCACCTCAAAGCTCAGTTTTATCGCATTCTTGTTCTGCCCCCCATACTTGCACTCATAGAGAAGGAAGCTACAGGACGTACAACGAACTCGGGATCCTCAGCAACAACGGATGCAGCAGCCGCAGCACCGGCCGCACCACCAGCAGAAGCAGCACCAACAACACCAGGTCAGAAGGATACAGAGGTAACTACTAATGAGCAGATACCTCCTAAAGGGGAATCCGGGTCCGCAAGCGAAAGCACAGCATCGAATCCAGACGCACTGGGCACTGGTGCTGGTGTACAACCCGAAGACCCCGACCAGAAGAATACCATCGTCGATGGCGGCAACGATGACCCCCCTCCTCTCAATCCACCCAAACCAAAACCGAACCCGAACCCAAATCAATCGGGCAGTAGTGGCAGTTTCAGTGATGCTGATTTGGCGGATGGAGTTTCTGGTGGGGAAGTAACGGCAGGTGGGGGTGGTCAAAAGGATGGTGGAGCAGGTGCTGGCGTTGGTGGTGGTACTAGTGGTAGCGGACGTGCAGGAGGAGGTGGTGCCACAGGTGGAGAGCCAGGTGCAGGTAGCGTAGATGCAGGATCCGGTTCTACTGGTCACCAACCCCCTGGTTCCTCAGGACCAGGATCTAGTCCAGTTCCGCCTAAACAGAACGAGGCAGCAGGGGGTGCCGCCGGCGCAGTGGAAGTAACCCCGGCCACTACTGGTGGCGGCCTCACATGGGACGATGTCAAGCCCTACACCCCCGCGATCATTCCAGCGGTGGTTGGTATTGGGGTCATTGTGTTCTTCCTATGGAAGGTAAGTATATACGGCAATCACGCAATGCCGCGCGTGCAGGATGTTTATACCTCATAACATCCCTACGCGCACCAATATATGATCGTTCTAACCAATATGACCCTACACCCGTATTCATTGCTTTTATCTTACCGTCCTCACCCTCCTCTTTACCCCCCTTTTTGTGCTTAGTACTTTGCGTACCTCGCTAAACGACGACGAACGTATCGAACCGTTCGTGACGTGCCATCACCGCCACTGGACGAAGAAATTCTAGACCATTTGCAACGCGACGCACCGCCACCCGATTACGGGTACACCTTGGTTAGGGATAGGCGGCCTGCATCTGCTGCCGCACGACGACGCCGCGGACGACGCCCGCCACGCGTGCATAAGCGCACGATCATCGAGCTACATTTAGAAGTGCTGAACGAATGTGACGCGGCAGATTGGGAAAACGTCCAAGAAGACTATTGGAAGATTGTCGTGGAGGAGTTTGCGCGCGACTTGCAGCGGGACGGAAAGGGGTATAGTAGTTTCCCGGATGCTCCTAGCACACACCAGGGTTTATCAGGGACCAATGTTGCATCCACCGTGGACCCACCCACTGATTCCGACGGAACGGATGCATGTTCACCGCATGACCCCGATCCGTGGCGTTGTATGGAAACCATAGAGTTAGCAACGGACCCTTATCCACCTAATGACCCCGATCCATGGCGTTGTATGGAAACCATACAGTTACCAACGCACCCTTGTCCACCACATGACCCCGATCCATGGAGTTGTATGCAAAACATACAGTTAGCAACGGAACCTGGTCCACCGAATGACTCCGATACATGGAGTTGTATGGACACCATACAGTTAGATGCAGAACAGAGTCGTGCTCATTCCAACCCCGAACACGTGACGTCGCATTGCACCCAATGGATCCCTTGGATTGACCGCAATAAGCATATGGTGCGGGCGTGCACGGGGCAACCGTGGTTTAATGCCCTCAAAGCGGCATGGAAACAATATCAGCGTGCACACATGGCGGCAAACGCAGCATCCGCTGACCACAGGCAAGCCGCAACCCTGGAAAGGAAGAAATTGGATGCATGGAAAGAATGGGTTGCAAAACAACATGAGCTTATGCATATATATGGTGAGGAGGAGTGGTTTAAGCATTTGTTGAATACTGTGCCGGAGAAGACAGTGCCGGGCAAACGCGCAGTACCTGGAGTGGACAACGACTTAGAAGTGGAAAGAGCAATGGGAGCAGAAGATGTTCTAAGCGTGAGAGATTTACCGGCACAGCAACTGCATCCGCACTCTTACATGAAAAAACCGTTAACCGGCCACAAACTGTGGATGCTAATCCTCGCGTGCGTTATAGAACAGTGCGCGGTCGAACGCAATTTGCAGGATAGGGAGTTACATGTAGATGACCTATTGCACAAGCTCTGAAATTAGGATGACGGGGCATATGAATGGGAATAATGCAATAACGCATTCTGACCGTAGACCACTTTTACTTCATTATGTGATATACATAATATATTTCTTGTTTGCACTATTCCATACCGTCTTTTTTTTCTGCTCTGTTCTGCTTGTGCTTACTTTTGCTTTGTTTTGTTCTTTTTCTGTGTAGTCCACTTCTTTTAACATGACCATAGGAACAGGGTGCGTATCGGTTACATGCATATAAAATGTAGATTTAAATGAATAATATGAAGGGGTACAATTCTCCTTTATGTGAAGTTAATTATTAACACATGCGCACGTGCATTCTAAGGGTATAGTGCAGAAAAAATATACAATGCGCATAATCATTCGAGTATAAGGAGAGATTGTCTCGCCGAGCACACGCGGCCGCGTAAAGCATTGTCGTCGAGTGTAAAACGGATTCGACGACGTAGTCGAGTGTCAGAAGGAGGAGGATTGTCTCTCCGAGCACACGCGTCGACCACAGCGGCCGAGTAAGCGCGGCTATTGTGTGCGAGCAAACGGGGCCGAGTGCAAGACCGATTCGACGAAGTAGCCGAGTGTACCAAGCACGAGAGATTGTCTCTCCGAGCAAACGCGTCGACCAACGCGGCCGGGTAAAGCACATTGTCCGAGTACTGCGCCCGAGTGTAAGAAGGATTCGACGAAGTAGCCGAGTAAGCGTTGTGCCGAGGGTAAGAGCGAGGAGAGATTGTCTGTCCGAGCAAACGCCGCCGGGTACACGCATCGGTCCGCGTGCAACACCTATTCGACGAAGTAGCCGCGTGTACGCAGGAGGAGCGATTGTCCCTCCGAACAGACGCGGCCGGGTAAACGCAGATTGTCTCCGCGCAAACGCGTCGCCCAACGCGGCCAAGTGCAAGACCGATTCGACGAAGTAGCCGAGTGTAAGAAAGGAGGAGCGATTGTCTCTCCGAGCAAACGAGTCCACCAAAGCGGCCGCGTACACCGCATTGTAGCCGAGTGCAAGAAGGAGGAGAGATTGTCTCCGAGTGCGGATCAATAGAGGGAGCCGCGAGACGTGTGGCGGAGGAAGGAACACACATATTTTGTGGGAGCCATAAGGTCCGCAACGACGGCAGCAACGACGGCAGCCACGACGGCGGCAAGGACGGCAGTAGACATTGATGTTGTTGTTATTACTGCGGTTTGTAGTGTACAAGGGGTTTAGTGTACGCAGAGCGAGACACAGTGTGTGAAGGCGTTTAGTGGAAACCGGTGTAGAAAGGGGGGACGGGGCGTCGGGAGTAGAAGGGTGTATTCTGGATGCGCTGCGTGTGAACGGTAGTGTAGTAGTAGTTTTTTTGTTTCATTTTTCTATTTATTTTTGTACTCCTTTTTTATTCTGTGCATATTATTCTCTCCTAAACAATATCACAACAGTGTAAACACTTTGTGTAATGTGCAATTATGTATTGTGCATTTGCCTTATGTAAATTATATGTGTGCTCGCCTTCCCCTCACTTATAGAGAAATAAGAATATTCATGAGGCAAAGGCGTGCACGGCATCACGGCGCCATATGAATAATGTGCACAATATTCTCACGTAGCATTAATATCCTGTATTATGCGACGTAAGGCATCATGGCACGGCACTTAGTAGATGTACTGGTCCCCTGGGCAAGCGCACGGGGACTATGGAACCAGCACCAGCTTGATGTAAGTGTTCACTCAGAACAAGGCGTTGCACGCCGCAGCGACGAAGGGCGGCGGAATATAGTGTTGGTACATATATGTGCGGTAAAACATACGGAACGGCAGGTACAGTCCTATAGAGTTTACATATTGTTATACATTAATCATTTTATCAATGTACCGATTTCGTAGAGTGCACTATGGGCAGATATGGAGAATGTATTAAAGGATTTTGTGAATTATATGGACAACATAGAATCACATATAGATGCGTATGCCACAAGCTGTGGGGATGCAGGTTGGTGGCGTAGAGGAGACACGCATAAGGGGACAAAAACTAAGGGACATACGGTTGGAGACGTAATGAAATGCAGACTCATGGTAGGTGCATTATATTTTGTCACTGACTGGAGCAATCAACTGCAAAAGGATAACGACCCATCGGAAAATGATACGGCCATGAAGGCTATTATGAGGTGCATGGTAGCAGATGTTTTTGCGTATATATTGGCTAACATAAATTGTGGTCACATGTGGCTCGGGCCAGACCAGGCCTGGTACATCATGAAAGGAATGGGAGGACCGGGTGGCTTCGTGAATCCAATTTCAAGTGGCAAGTGTGCGCTGGATGCGTATAAGGATACAAGGGTAGGAACAGCGGATTTACAGGGGGCGGTAAAAAACTGGTTACAGCAAAGTAAAAGAATACGTAATCGTATGGAGGCAATAGAGAAGAACCCACATTGCAACATAGGATGGGAAAAATACAAGAAAGACATGGGCGAACAAGGAGAAGCTGAAGATAGTTCCAGTATATTTCAGGAGCACCATATGCAGGAATTAGTGAAAAAGCAGGTACAAGAACTGTTTACGAAAATTAGGAACACAGTACAAAAGAAGGTGCACAGGGAACGAAATACAACAGGGGGATACCGAGAACTCCGGGATAGTGATGTTGACTCTGAGGACGAGGAAGACCCGCAGAGAACGACAGTTCCAACGGCGGAACCACCCAATGCAACAGCGGGCGGCACAAAAACGATAGTACCAGCAGCAGCAGGGGAACAAGAGGACAGCAAGAAGGACAAGAGCAACGAGGACAACAAAGGTACGAAAGCACATAGCAAGAATACGAATATACGGCTGGTACGAATACGATCCGTAACAATACGCCCCCTACGGCCGCTACGACTACGCTCGGCCCGCATACGGATCATAGGGCCAGCTACGTTACCGTATGGATGCCGCCACAACAACAACGCACACGCGGCGACGACGGCATTGGTAGCGGTTGCGGAGCGGACGCACATGAGTGGCCACGGCAGCGGTCGCGGACGGCAACAAATAACAGTTGTACTGCTACCATCTACCCCCCGTTCACCGAATACGCAGTCCACCGAGTGCGCCCCCTGCATCTCTCCATTCATCCGGCAACTGTTACACACCCATATGCTCCTACATTACCATCATTCTTAGGACAACCGGAAGCAGAGGAACCAAAGGACACAACAAAAGCAGAAGGTAAAACTACAACACCCTCCACACCTGACACAGTGCCAGTTGCAAGATCAGATGGATCCGTTGAGGAACCACCACAACCACCTCCGGCACTGCCGCCCGCGCAACCCACATCAGGTGCGGCCACGGGAGCCGCTGGACAAGCAGCAGCACCACAGTCACCACCGGCTGCAGCACCGGCAGCAGGAGACAGTAGTGGAAAAGATCAATCCTCGGGAGGCACCAGTACAGATCAGGTTGCAGACAACAAAGGTAAGTGTACAAAGGGGCCTCAGGTATTTAAGGAAACAAATACAGGCATGGGCATCTCCGGTGCTACATCAAGCATCGTCCTTTCCTTCGCACCTACGTCGGAAAACGATGATGACTGTGACAAGAGGTCCAAGGACTCGAGCGAAGGTAGTGTCCTGAGTGCATATCCACAACAAAAACAACGAGCACAACAGAAACAACAATTTGCGGAGAGAGACGGAGAGACACCGCAGAGAGCGAGAACAACCACACGTAGAATGAGAATGAGCGCCAGGTACAGAGGCGTAGACACGTAGACAGGTAGACGTCGACCGGTGGACGTCGACGTACACAGACACGCACACACTGTGTGTGTTGTGTTGTGTGTTGTGTGTTTGTTGTGACAGAGAGAGAGTCTTTTCCCGGGGTGGCACCTGCCAACCCCGTGCCTCACCCCGTCCGTGTCCTGCCCCCCGACGTGATCTCCTCACCCGACCTGCGGGCAACCCGTGAAACGACGGCAAAGAACCGTGTAGCCGACCGAATGTGTGGCCAACCCACAGCACCGGACCGTGTGGCCGATCGTGTGGCCATGCACCGTACAAAACTTCACTTCAGTTTCTCCCATGTTTTTCTTTACCCCTGGGTACCCATATAGGAACTGAAGCAGGGGAAAACAAAGACACAACGGATCAAAACCAAACAGCACAAGCACCAGCAGCGGCAGCACCCAAGGCAGAACCAACGCAAGAAGCAGCACACCAGCCAGCCCCAGGGCTAGGGCACACGGGTGCATCTGGTTCCAATGGTTCACCCGGTGACACAGGTCCCTCTGGTGCAGCTGGTCCTACTGGTCAAGGTTCTACTGGTACTGGCTCCGCGGGGAATACGAATCCAGGTTCCACTGGTGACCAACCCCCCGGTTCCTCCGGACCAGGTTCCACGGGTACTAGTACTACGGGTGCTACCTCCGGAGAAGGTTCAAAGGGCAACTTCGAACTAGATATAGCACTTCCAACAGGACGGGGTAACGTGGGTGGATCATATGGAACAGGTCCCACACCAGGTCCAAAGGGGAACCCTCCGCAGACTGTGCAACACGATGGCCCCTTCTTTCCCGACCTCACCGCCGACGTCCTGACCGCCACTACTCCCATCCTGTTTTTTCTCGCTTCCGTCATCGTGGCCCTTCTTGGTTATTCCCTTTGGAAGGTAAGTACATACGACAATGCGCGCATGCTGCATGTGCAAGATGTTTATACCTCAGAAACTCCCTACCGGCTCCAATATATGATCGTTCGAACCAATATACTCCTAAACCCGCGTTCATTCCTTTTATCCTACCGTTCTCACCCTGCTCTTTACCCCCTTTTTCTGCTTAGTACTTTGCGCACCTCGGACAAAAACGACGACGAACATATCGAACCGTTCGTGACGTGCCGTCACCGCCACTCGACGAAGACATATTGGACCATCTACAACGCGGCGACCTGCCGCCACCCGCTTACGGGTACACCATGGTTACGCAACCTGCGTCAATACCTGGTAGAAAACGCCCCCCACGCGTGCATAAGCGCACCATCATCGAGCTACATCTACAAGTGCTCCACGAATGTGAAGCGACAAATTGGGAAAACGTCAAAGACGACTATTTGCACATACTCGTTGAAGAGTTTATGGCGGGCAACACCACGTGTACAAGTAGCTCGGATGTCTGCACCCCAGACGACGGTTTCGCAACCCAGGACTCAACAACAAACGCCGATTCACGCACGCGGGATACACCCACCTATTCCGACGAACCTGATGCATGTCCACGTAACGAAGAGGACCCCGATCCATGGAGTTGTATGGAAACCATACAGTTAGATGCAGAACAGCGTCGTGCTCATTCCAACCCCGAGCACGCGACTTCGGACTGCATCCATTGGATTAACTGGATTGACCGCAACACGCATCTATTGCAGGCGTGCATGACGCAGCCGTGGTTTTTGCAATTAAAAGCGGATTGGCAACAATACCTGCGTGAGCACATTGCGGCAAACGCAGCATCTGGTGTGAACACGACAGCCGCAACCCTGGAAAGCAAGAAGCACGCATGGAAAGAATGGGTTGCAAAACAACATCGGCAAATGCGTATGTATAAGGAGGAGTGGTTCCAACATTTGTTGAATAATGTAGAGCAGGAGACAGAATCGCAAAACGGCCAAGCACCTATAGTGGAACACAACTTAGAAGTGGAAAAAGTAATGGGCACAGAACATATGCTAAGAGTGAGAAATTCGCCAGGCAGCCAACCACTCCATGAGCAATACTACAACAAGAACAAATTAAGCTCTAAATTGTGGATGCTACTCCTCGCATCCGTAATCGAAGAGTGCGAGGTCGAATGTCGTTTGCACGAAACGGAGTTATATGTGGATGATCTATTGGAGCAACTGTGACATTAGGATGACGGGGCATATGAATGCGACATAACGCATGCTAATCGTACACCATTTTTATTTCATTATGTGATATACGTAATATATTTCTTGTTTGCATTATTCCATACCTTCTTCCTTTTTTTTTCTGCTCCGTTCTGCTTACTTCTGTTTACTTTTGCCTTGTTTTGTTCTTTTTCTGTGTAGTCAACTTCTTTTAACATGACCATAGGAACAGGGTGGTACACGTCAAATGCATTTAAAATGCAGATTTACATGAATAATATGAACGGGTAGTATTCTCCTTTATGGGAAATTATTTATTAAAAGATGAGCACGTGCATTCTAAGGGTACAGTGCACAACACCTATAGCATGCGCATACGCCTTCGAGTATAAGGCGAGCTTGTCTCTCCGAGCAAACGTGGCCGTGTAAACCGCATCGTAGCCGCGTAATGCGGCCGAGTGTAACAAGTATTCGACGACGTAGCCGAGTGTAAGAACGGAGGGAGACATTGTCTCTCCGCGCACACGCGTCGACCAAAGCGGCCGCGTGCACGACGGAGCAGCATTGTCTCCGAGCAAACGCGTCGAGCAACGCGCCCCAGTAAGCACGGCTCTTGCGCGCACACGCGGTTCGACCAACGCGGCCGGGTAAACGGATTGTCCGAGCACGCAGCCGCGTGACAGAGAAGCGTTGACGGAGAGAGCGTTGACGGAGAGAGCGTTGACGCAGAGGCCTTGACGTCACAAGCGTTGACGGAGAGGCGTTGACCGGAGACGCGGTTGACGGAGGGGCGTGACCGGGAGCAGCGTTGACGGATAAGCGTTGACGCAGAACGGGGTGATGGAGACTGGGTGACGGAGAGGCGTTGACGGAAGAGGCGTTGACGGAGAAGCGTTGACGAGAGAGGCCTTGACGGAGAAGCGTTGACGGGAGAGGCCTTGACGGCGAGGCGTTGACGGAGAGGCGTAGACGGAGACTTGGTTCACGGACAGGCGTTGACGGAAGAGGCGTTGACGGAAGAGGCGTTGACGGAGACCGTGTGACGGACACAGCGTGACGGAGACGGGGTGACGGAGAAGAGCGTTGACGGAGAGAAGCGTTGACGGAGAAGCGTTGACGGGAGACGGGGTTGACGGAGAAGCGTTGACGGAGACGGGGTGACGGGTGTCGGCAGAGGCGTTGACGGAGAGGCGTTGACGCAGACGGGGTTGACGGACAGAAGCGTTGACGGAGAGACGGCGTTGACGGGGAGACGGCGTTGAGGGCGACGGCAGCGACGGCAAGGACGGCAAAGTACCTGCCACACCAGTAGCGGCGAAACCGGTGGCGCAGACGGACGCGGCGACGGGGAGCACGACCACGCGGTCCAAGCGCAAGGCAGCATCTGGTGCTGGTAGGGGTCCTGGTCAGGGTGCTGCCGTAGGAGGTCAACACGAGAACGGGAAGATGGCGAACACCGAGGAGACAGAGTGTGAAGGAGAAAGAATAGTGCAGCAAGGGCGTCACGCGGTGTACGTGGTGCCTCCACGTGATGTAAGTTACGTGAGTGACCCAGCACGGATGAGCGGGACAAAAGAATGAAAAGCACACGAAATTGTTCATAAGGTCAATTGCACATACATGTGCGCGTGTACATGCATTAACGCCGAATAATATAGTTAACACGTGCTCATGAGGACTTTTGTATGTTAATGTGTAAAACGTAGGATGCTCAATGGAACAAGTGGAAGCAAGTGTTGCAGGAATTTACGGAACATATGGAGCAACAAAACGAACTCAATGAAGCATATGGTGCAAACTGTTATAATAGTGGTTGGGATGATTTCGGAAAGGGAAAACACCATCATAGCGGGCAAACGGTAGCAGATGTCGTTAGGTGCAGAGTTATGAGTGTTGCATGGGTCTTCGCAAATGGGTGGGGAACTACTGGGAGCGCTAACACGGACGGGGTCCAAATCACGCAGGAAGAACGGAATATGTTCAGGTGTGAAGTAGCAAATATATTTGGACATCTACTGAAGGCAAAGTATTGTCCACGGCAACGCGGATTTAAGAGGGGTGTAGAGTATTCTCGCATAGCATTCCAGAAAATGAACAGCGCGACAACAGGTGGATTTGGAGACCTCACGGGTCCTGTTATCGACGGCAGGTGCACAGCATGTGGGTACGGCGAGTATCAAAGGTGGGCAAACGCGATAAATTTGAAAGTAGTAGAGTGGCTCATGGAGCACGCACACATAAATGAAGAAATAAAAAGAATGGAAGAGGCCATGCCATGTACCACACAATGGACACATTACATTAAGCAGCTGGACCCCGAGCACAACCCTATTAAGGGCGGGGACAGAGACTGGACCAGTATCAAAGCCCGTTTGAGCGCCGCAGGGAACACGACGTTAGAGACAGCAGAGAAGGACATGGAGGGAGAAGTGAAAAAGATAATTGAGAAGGTGAAGGACGCCAAAGACCAAATACTGCAGAA